GGAACTAAATCAGCCTATTAACAGTATAATTGGTAGTAAATAAATTGGTAATTATTGGCCTTCATTATTTCAACAAATCCATTAATTTCTGGAGCATTACATTTGAGGAAAGAGAACATTGTATAGAGTCTACTAAGCAGAAGTTCCTCGTAGGTCTCGAATACTAGGATTTTCCATTATATACTGCCACGCTACCAGTGACAACCAGAAAGGGATATAGGAGTCACTCTAATAGCTTTCTGGATGCTTTGGCCCAATGGATGGCTATTTATAACTTAAAAAACAAAAACAAAAGTAAAAGCAACATAAAACCTCATTACATAATGTCAGGCTAAGTATTAAAATCAAAACAAAAATATCTTTTTTTTTGTATAAAAACTCTGGACTATTTATACCTTAATGTCCTCATGTCCTTTATTTATTCCCTCAACATATCATAGAAAAAAAATTGAGAATTACATGGCAGGGACCATGGAATCTGATGTAGAATCTCACTAAGGCCCTGCTGTAAGTCACTTAACACTTCAGGTCTGAATCTTTCAAATGTGAGCTGAAAGGATAGGTCACTGAAGGACTTCTAAGGCCCCTTTCTACTCCAACGTTAGGTTCTTCTACGTGTATTCAAACAAAAGGCAAATCTGCAGGAAAAGAGCTTTTCTGCTGAGAATGACTACACATACAGGTAGATCAGCCTACTTCACTTAATTCATTGGCCAAAACCAGGTAAGCCTGGCTTTCGATTGGTGACTTAGAGATGGGGAAAACAAAATGAGTGCTTTCACGTGTAGTCTACAGTATTTCAACATTTAACATTATACTAGAGTTTTCCTATTTATTTTGAATACGTTTACCAGGAAAAGTAACTATCCTTTTATAATTAATAAATACTAAGTTTCTTAACTTGCTTTTTGTTTATCTTTTGAAACTTGATGTCTGGTCATGTTAGTAAGAATTGATTATGCTATTTGGAACAGCAATGCTCTTCCACTTATAAGTTGTTAGCTATAGAACTAGGCATATATTGAGGTTCAATATATTAACATTTCATCATCATTTCAGTGTTCAGCTAAATAGATTTTATTTGTAGCAGTTTTTCTTTTGTACTTTTATCTTAATGTGATTTTCAGAAATTTAAGAAAAATAAGATACGCTTTTTTCTTTTGAATATATATATATATATATATATATATATATATATATATATATATATATATATATATACTAAAGACTACTCTTTCTAAAGCATAACAGCTATATCCCATCTACTGACTATTGGATAAATGTGAAATTCTAAAACTGACATTCCAAGATCTTCTAC